AAAAAAAAAAAGGTCCGGGGGATAAGGAAGAGGTTAAAAGAAATACTAATGAGAATAAAACAGTGAAACCAGTGCCACAGAACTGAAAGAGGAAAAGCATGCTGCTGTGCCAAGCCATTTGTTGTGGTTTGAATGCAAAACGTTCCCTACAGGGTCATGTGTTTGAATACTTGGTCCCCGGATACTGGCACAGTATTGGAAGGTTATGAAACTTTCAGCAAGTGGGGCATAGTAGAGAAAGTGGGTCACTAGGGGCAGGCCTTAGGAGTTCCCCTAGTTAACACAGTCCAGAGTTACCGGAGGGGATCTGGGAGGTTGCCTTCACCAGATTGGCCTGTGTCATATCTGCGGGGCATTTTCTTGATTGCTAATTAGTGTACGAGGAGCCCTACCCACCATGGGCGTCACCATGCCTAGTTAGTGAGCCCTGGGATACATAAGAAAGCTAGCCAAGCATTAGAGTGAGAATGTGCCAGTCATCAATGTTCCTCCATGGTTTCTGCCTCAAACGACTGTCTGGTACTTCGGCCTTGGCTTCCTTGGATGGCCTGCCTGTCACCTGTAAACTGAAATCATCCCAAGTTGGTTTTGTCATGGTGTTTACTGAAGCAACCAAAGCCACACTAGAACATGGGGTTATAGCTGGGCCCCACTTTCTAAAGACCTCACTCTGCTTCTTGACCTGGTGGGATGCAAGCTAACAGCGGTCAGTCACTACTGCTACCAGAGCCACTCCCAGGCCCTTGCTGTCACATTGGACTCTATCTTCTCAAACTGTGAACCAACATCAACCGTTTCTCCCTTAAACTGTCTTTCTAGGGATTTGGTCATAGCACCACTAAATTAATCAGGCTTGATTAACAGAGGTGGCAGAACTCCAGTTAACAAGGCTATCCTTATGACGAAACTTAGCCACTAAGGTGAAAGTTAGAGTAAGTCACCAACAATACCTATATTAAAAACATTTTTGAGGGAAGGGAGTGTAGCTCAGTTATAGAGCACCTGCTGCCTAGCATGTGCAAGACCTGAGTTCAAGGACCAGTAGCCCAAGCACAGAGAATTGTTGGCTACAGTTCAAAAGCACATAGAACTGATTGACAGAGTTCAACTAACAGGAAAGAAATTTAGTCTTTATATGGGGTAAGGGGTATGTTAATTAGCTCCAAAGCAATGGGCATTTCACAATGCACCACAACGGACATGCAATCAAAGTTGTATGCCTAATGTTTGTTTATTGTTTTCAAGAAAGCTAAATGAGAATTTAAGAAAGAGAGAGAGAGAGAGAGAAAGGAAAGGAAGGAAGGAAGGAAGGAAGGGAAAGGAAAGGGAAGAAGGGAAGGGAAGGGAAGGGAAGG